GGCTGCCCGGGCGCTGCAGGAAAGGCCGAGTGGAGGTGGCAGGATGGGGCCTGCTGTCTCCAGTGCTGCTCCAGGACCCCCGGGGGCACCCAACCCACCACACCGGGCCCCTTTGCCCCCTTTCAGCTGGAGGGTGAAGCCCCCCCTGGGCGCTGCTCGCACCCACAGCCCCGTCCGGTTGCTCCGGCCGGGCAACTCTGCGTGCTGGGACGTGCCAGCCGCCTGTCCCCAGGCTGGGGCGAGGGCACGGGGCTGTCCCCGGGGTGGCTCCCGCAGGAGACCCCCGGCACAGGCACCCGGGTGACATCAGGGTGGCCCCGGGGTGGAACTGATGGCGAGGATTTGGCTCCCACGTTTCCCCGTCCCCGTTTCTCCCCGGCGTGGAGGCCCCGTGAGGGTGCCCTGGGTGTGCTGGGGGTGGGCAGATGGGGGCACAGCTGCCACCGAACCACTCAGTGCAGCCCCCCCGGCGGGGTGGGAGTGGGCACTGGGGCTGTTTCGAGGCAGAGCTGCGGCACCTTGGCCAGGGTGGGCACTGGGCACCAAAGCGTTGCCAGCGTGCAGGGGGTTCGTGTGTGTCACCTCATCCCAGGGACTGTCCCCTCGCTGGTGGCCGGTGCGTGGGCTGGGGCCGAGGGTGGGGGGGGTTGAGCAGAGGGGAGGAGGGGGTGAGACACACGAAGGGGGGTGTCTGGCCCCGAGGCTGCGGGCTGCAATCCCAGCAATGCCCGGCATTTCCCCGGCGTGGCCGCACGTGCCTCTCCTCGGCCTCCAGCACGGCAGGAATGCGGCGCGGGACCCCCTCGTGCGGGGACAGGGACGGGCAGCGCGGGGGGAGCCGGGGCAGGGGGGCACTGCCCACCCTCAGCCCAGGCCCGGGCTGGGTGTCTGCGGGTGCCAGGCTCGCCAAGGTGCTGCTGTTTTTCCTTGTTCCTCCCAGATTTTTGGTGCCGTGGTGGAGAGCAGGGCAGGGGGGGGGGGGCACAGAGGGGGGCTGTGGGGCGGGCTGGGGCAGGGGGAGTTGTCCCCGTGGAGCAGAACCAGCGGGGAGGGTGGTTTGTTGTGCCTTGTGTCCCCAGTGTTGACTGGGGAGCCCGGATCAAACCGTGGGGGCTGGTGGCTCTGTGCCGGGGGGGGCAACAGGGACCTCTGGGTGTCCCCAAAATGGACGATGGGGCTGTGGGGGGACTCTTGGTTCAGCTCCTGGTGGGAAGTGCCCTTGGAGCCACCACTCTGAGCAGAGAGGGCCGGGGGGGATGTGTCAGTCTCTGGGGTAACATTTTTGGCCTCCAAAGGGCTGTTTTGTTCTCCAGGGGGCTCTTTGGGTCCAGAGGGTGCTGCACCAGCAGAGCTTGGGGCAGGATATGTGTCCCTGCTGCCTGGACTCTGCTGGATGCCGGGGACAGAGAGGGGACCTGGAGTGTCTGAGAGCCCCCACTGGCTCCCCCCTGGCAGAACCCGGTGGTGGCAGGGAGGGGACACTCTGCACCCCCAGGCTGTCCCTCTCCCTGTCCCCGGCATCGCCCGGTGCCCTGCGGAAAGGAAGGAAGGAAGGGGCCGGGAGGAGGGAGAGGAGGAAGCGGGGAGGGTGGGATGCTGCCCGGGGTGATGGAGGAAGAAGGGGGTGGATTAAAAAAAAAAAAAAGAAAGAAAAAAAGAAGGAAAAAAACGTAAAAAAAAGAAAAAAAAAAAAGGGAAAGTCCTGGCAAAGTGACACCGCAGGCGGGGCGGGGGGGCGAGGGGGCTGGGGGCGGGGGGCTGACTGGGGGCGGTGGGCTGGGCACTGATCCCTGCCAGCAGCTGGAGCCCCAGCCCGCCAGCCCAGCCGGGACGTGTGGCTGGTTCATCCCTCCATCCATCCCTCCCTCCCTCCCTCCCTCCCTCCCTTCATCCATCCATCCATCCATCCCACCCTCCATCCATCCGGGAGGCTGGGGGGGTGGCTGGGTGGGGGCTGCGTTGCCGGGGGTGGGGGGTGGTTGTGAGCGAGCGATCGAGCGGCGATGCGAGTGTGAGCGGCACCGCCGGACCGGGAGCTCCGAGCAGCGCCCGAGCCCACCCGGGGGGTGCTGCCGGGACCCCATGGAAGGGGTGCGGACCACCGGCTGAGAGCCCCCCCCCCAACGCGGCGGGATGGTGGAGGAGAGCGCGGGCGGAGGGGCGAGGAGGGGTCCCTGCCGCCCCCCGCCAGTCCCCAACCCCAAAAGGCTGTGGAGCGTGGAGCGCTCCGGGAAGGGCTGGCGCCTGGAGCGCCCCGTCGGGGTGGATTGCAGCTCGCCCGAGCCCCGCTGCATCTGGCTGAGCAGCCTCCGCCGACACGCTGCCGCCCCCGACCCCCGCCCGCCCCCGGCCCCCCGCCCCGGCCGCGGGGGGAGACCAGACAAGGGCCGCCGGGTGAGAACCGCGAGCCGGGGGTCGCGACTGGTTTTGGGGGAGTGGGGGGGGCGCCTTGAAGGGATTGGGGGGTCCCACGGGGCGGGGTGGGGTGTGCCCGGGGGCTGTCACAGCTCCTGGGCTGCGGTGTGTCCCCTTCGTCCCCTCCCGTGCTGGGGTCGGGGGTGGGGGTCCAACCTCCTGCTCGTGCTCCCGGTGCCCAGCTCACTGTGTTTGGGAGGGGGATGGATCCTGCCCTCCCGGGGTGCAGGGAAAACACTCCTTTGTTCTGCAGGAGTGGGACACTGGTGGGAATTACCTGTCCCTTCGTGTCCCCGTGGGGGCGGGGAGGTGACATGGGGTACAGGGACCTGGTGACACCTCTGCTGGGGGGTAAAGGACCTCGTGGGAATTAGGGTGACTTGGGTGGGGGCCTCTGGGTGTCACAGCCACTGGCACAAGCTGTGCCAAGGATCAAGGGGTTCCTCCCCATCCCCGCAGCCCTCATGGGATGGGGGCCCAGGAGAAGTGGGATAAGGAGGATGAGGACACAGCTGGTGGTATCGCAGCAGAAACCACCAGGATGAGGTTAAATAAAGCCAAAAATCTGGGAGGAGGAAGAGGGCTCTGAGGACAAATGACTGAGGTGACAAATTGGGTGCCAACCCCACTGCAGGGGGGGGGGACAGGAGCATCTGCAGGGCCGTGAGCCAGCATGGGGGGGGGATCCAAACCCGCGACTGGGGGGGGCTTTGTAACCCGACAAAAGCTTCAAGTCAGGACGGGCGAGGAGGGAAACCGAGGCACGGGGCGGGCGGGACGGTGCCACCACCACACCCGGGGACCGTGTCACCGTGTCACCGCCGCCACGACAACAACGGGGACTCGCTGCCATCCCCGCCGGGCCGGTGCCGCCGTCGGTGTCTCCTCGGAGCATCCATCCTGCCCTCTCCCCCAGGCCTGTCTGTGCCGGTTAAAATCAGCGGGGCACATTCAGCTGTCAGCTTAAAAATAATCCGGCGAGCCGGCGGCCGGCACAATGGAGGGCGCAGATGGGCCCGGGCGCCGCCGGGATGCTCCGGCCCCGCTGCCCGGGGCTGGGGGTCCCGCGGGAGTGTGGGGTGCCTGTTGCCATCTGGGGTTGGGTTTTCCGTTGGGATTGAGTGGCACAAGGCAGGGGGGAGTGGCAGAGGGATTGTGAGGGGTTTTGCTGCCTGTGCGGTGTCGGGAGGTATTGGGGTTTTCCGGCTCTCCCGTGGTGGGGTTTGGGGCGTTCTTTCTGTTTTGGGGTGTGGGAGCACCCGAAGCGGTTGTGCCCTCCCTCCCAGGTTGTGCAACAGGGATGGAGCGGGTAGGTGGGTGCAATGCCTCATGCCAGAGGCATGTCCTCACCCCAGGGACCCCATCCCCAGGAGGATGGGACCCCCATTCCCACCGTGGGCTCCGTGTGGGACGTGCTGGACAGGGGGTGCAGCCTGGCCCCGCCGAGCTGCCGTCAGATCTCCCGTCAGATCTCCCCACCCGTCAGATCTCCCCACCGGCAGCGAAAAGGCCCACTCAGCACAGGCACAGACAAAGGCTTTTTGTGCCTTGTCCCTTTGTGTCCCTTGTCCCTGTCCCCTCCCCGCTCCCCATCCATCGCTTCCACCCAGACAGCCCCTGAATTTTAACACCCCCGTCCCAGGATGGGCTGATTCCAACGGCTGCAGCAGGGAAGGAGCTGCCACTCGGGCAGGATCCCGGTGGATCCGCTGCTCTGCCTGTCCCTCCAGCTCCCAAATTGCCAGTTTTCTCCAGTTTTAGCAGAACTGGGTGCTCCCAGGGCATCAGGCAGTGCCCTCTCCTTCCCTTGGCCACGGAGCTGCTCCCGCTCCAGCTGGGCTGGCGGATGTGCAGCCAGATGTGCAGCCAGATGTGCAGCACAGGGAGCAGCACCGTCCCTCACCTGGGCCGTGCTAAACCCTCCTGAACCCAGCCAGGGTGTTGGGACTCCTGGATGCCTCTCCCAACTCCCTACCTCGGTGCCAGGAGAGATGCCCGTGGCTGCTCCAGCTCCACCACAACCCCATTGCCCCTCCCAGCACCGGCACTGGGAGCTGTGGGATGGAGCCACATCCCCTTTGGCCCCATCTGCTGCTCTGGGCAGTGCCCCTTGCCAGATCCCAACACGGTGCCAGGTCCCTGCTCTGGCTTGGGAAGCATCACTCATCCCACCACCTCCCGGACGGCTCCTTCCGGCTCGCCCAAGGTTATTGCCACGGCATCACCAGAAGGGACCTTTTGTCCCCAAATCCCCCATCCATCCGCCCCCATCTCTCCTCCTGGGTCCCATCCAGACCCCCAGGCACAGCTTGTTTATTTTTATTTCCTTTCCATTCATCTTCTTCCCAAAGGTCCCACACGAGGAGTCTGGGGGGGGGGATGCTGCTGGGCTGGGTGGGTTGTGGGGGCTGGAATTTGCCGCTGGAGGGCTGGGAATAGGGAGGAATAGGGATGGGGGGGGTGTCTTAGGAGTGGAGCAGCCTTTTGGGCAGAGCTCAAGGGGTGGGCACGTGGGGGGGCTGGACCTGTACCCCCTCCCTCCCCTCTCCAGAAGTGACATCTTGTCCTTGTCCCCCCCCTCACAGCCGACGCCGGGCCGGAGAGATGGAGCATCCCCGAACGCCAACGTGCCCCCGGAGGGGGGGTCCTTCCCCTGGGTGGGCCCCAAGACGGTGGTGCTGCGGAAGAGCTCCCAGGGGGGGTTCGGCTTCACCCTCCGCCACTTCATCGTGTACCCCCCGGAGTCGGCCGTGCACTCGGCCAAGGTAGGGCCGGGAGCTGGGGGGGCCTGGGAGGGTCCTGGGGGGGGGTCCTGGGGACGCTGGAATGGGGCTGTGGTTGGATGCAGTGTTTGGGCTGGGGGTGGGCAGGCGGGCTCTGGGAGGTGAGGAGCGAACCATCCGTCATCACCTGCTTTGTTGGGGTTCCTGGAGCTGCCCCCACCCCCCACGGGTGTCCCTGGAATGGAGGAGCCCATGGAGCTGCTGGGAGATGTGGGAATCAGCAACGCCTCTGGATCCTTTTGGGATGGGACGCGGCTGCTTGTGGGAACAGAGAGAATCCCTCGACCACGAAGGATGGCTCCAGCATCCCTGGGAATGGCAGGAAAAGGCACTTCAGAGCCCTCAAGGCCAGCAAGGCCCAGTGGATTTTTGGGTCCCAAGCTCCTGGCTGTTGGTGGGAGCCTTCCAACTGGATGTACCCCAGGATCTGTGTCCAGCTGCAGCCAGACCTTCTCCAGGTGCTGCATTTTGGGGAGACTCAGCCCTGGGTTGACCCTCCTGCATGCCCTGAACGACCAAGAAGCCCCAATCTGGGCAATACCTTCCCCCCACCCCAGATGGAGGGATCCCATGAAAAACCACCCAGCAGCTTCCAACCTGGATGGAGCCCTCTGCACCCGAAGGGAGGAGCCAACTTCAATCTCCTGGAATTTGGAATCCCCCTCTCACCCCGCTTCCTGCGGCAGCAGCTTTGTGTGGAGGAAGGGAGAAGAGTCTGGGAGCCAAGTGATCCGTCACTGCTCCAAGCCTGGATGGACCTGGATGCTCCCATCACCCCTGGAGCTTCAGAGCTGCCCCACGGCTCCGGCTGCCCCACGGGCTGGCGTTGGCAGACAGGGAACTGCGGTGGGAAGTGAGTCACAGGGTGGGGAGAACCGACTCGCCGGAATCCCCGCTCAGCATCCTCCATCACGGCACTTTTCCCAGGCTCCTCGTATTCTGCTTCCCCAAAATCCTTCCTGTCTTCCCGCCCTCGGGAACACGGACCTGCCCCGTCTCCGGCAGCGTCGCCCTGGTTCTGTCGTGGGAACGGCCTGGAGCTCCTCCAGACCCACCCGCTCGCTCCCGCCTCTCCAAAGGATCCTCCAGGAACGAGGGGGTCGATCCTGCCCCGCTGGGCACCTGGGCCGAGCCCTGCCGCGTGGGAAGGAGCCGGATCAGCGCCGGGAGCTGGGGATGCTCTTGGAAAGAGGCTGGGAATAGCTGCCGGCCGCGGAGCCGGCGGGGCAGGGCGCGGCGGGGCTGGCTCAGCACCCGCGGGGGGCCGGCAGCCGACCAGGTCCGGGGGCTGAGTTTCGGTGGGTTGACTCAGCAGGGAGGAGGGTGACGGTGCCGGCGGTGCCGCCGCGTTCACCGCGCGCCGCGTTCGGCACCGCCCGGCCCTGGGAGCGCGGCTGCCGGGATGCCCCGGGGGCCGGGAAGGGCTCTGGGATGCCACGGGGCGAGGAGGGGCAGGGAGGGGGTGAGTCCGTGCCTCCAGGGGCTCTCGGTGGCCCCACGGTCCTGCCCTGGCACCGATCCTGCCCTGGCACCGTGGCAGCCGCTCCTGCGTGCCGAGGCCGTGGAATGTGGCTCTTCCTTCCCACCACCGGGAGTGATGGCTCCAGCCCTCTCCTCCTCGCTGGGAATGTCCCCCTGTTACACTGGGAAGGACACTGGTCCCTTCCCAGCACCCTGGAGGGACTTGGTGCCCTGGGGACATTAGTCTGTGTCCCCGCTGGCTGGGGGACAGGGCCAGGCTTGTGTCCCCCCACAGAGATGGAAGGATCTGGCACTGGTGGAGGGAAAATTCCCGTCCCAGGTTCCTGGGTCCCTCCTTGGGACACGTGTGTGGGGCTGAGCAGCCCGGGGTGCTCCGTGTCTGCTCTGGGGGCTCAGCAGTGTGGATGCAGCACCCTGTGTCCTGTCCCAGCCTGGGACCCCCCTGGGCAGCGTGGCTCTGCTGGGGGGTCCCCACAGGTGAATGTGGGATAGAAGGGTGGGGATCCACTGGCACAGTTCCCACCCCACGGGGCAGATCCACGTGGCTCCCAGGGCTTTCCCCTGCCCATGACTGGGACGGAGGTGCAGGACCCCTTTACCACCACTCTGCAGTGCCCACTGCAGCCCTGACAGCCCACCCCAAGCAGTGGGAGGCTGCAGAGATGGGGAGGGACAAGGATTCATCCCACAGATAGGATGGATCCCTCCCCTGGCACCGCACTGTGGGGGCTCAGGCTCTCCCTGACCAGGCTTGGTGGCCCCAGGCGAAGGGTGAGATGCCACCCTGGAGCCCCTTTCCCGCTCCCCTGCCCCAAAACCGACCCCTTTCCCATCAGCTGGGCGCGGGGGGCTCCGTTAGATCCCACTGCCCGCCGGGGCCACGCAGGCGGCCGGGATCCGGTGTCAGGAGGTAATTTTAGCTGGGGGCGGCGGAGGCCAGAGGGACGCGCCGGCCCCGCCGGGGGCTTCGTGGGGCTGCCACCCCAACCCCCTGTCACGGGCCCCACCACCAAATCAACGCTTTTCTCTTCTCTTGGCAGGAGGAGGAGAATGGGAACCGAGCAGGTGAGTGCTGGCACTGCCACGGGACGCCCGGGGTGGTCGCGGGGGGCACGTGGCTGTCTCGGGCCGCAGCGGGCATTGCTGTGGCTGTTGCTGTCACCACAGCCCTAAATTTCAGCTGGAGGTGAAGTGACACAGTGCTTTGGCAGCACTTTGGTGGCACTTTGCGCCCTACATGGGCTCAGTGTCCCCAAAACCCCTCGGGAGGTTTGTTGGACATCACGCCCGGGGCGGGGGGGGGGGGGGTCTGCCCGCAGTGAAGGGGGGGCTGTGGAGTGGCCAGTGCTGGCCCCCGCTGAGCACGGGGTGTTTGGGGACAGGGACACGGCCCCGCTGAGCTCCTGGAGGCTCCCGGTGACGTGAGTGAATGTGAAGGTGTCAGAACGGATCGGCGCTGGCGCGGTGACGCGGCGCCGGGGCCGCACTCCCCGGGGAGCCGGTGTGGGCAGCGCTGCCAGAACCAGCACCCAGCGCCCAGTGGGGCCGGGGGGCTCTGACCTCATGCTCTGGGTGGTCTCAGGGGGATTTGGAATCCCTCGTGGGCTCCGTGCCCACCCGGCACCGGTGGCTTTTGGTCTTTCACAGGGGACTGGGGGTGACGGGGACCAGGAGCTGCCCCGAGTGTTGGGCTTCGCCCTGGGCAGGATCTGTGCCCGCAGGGCAGGGCTGGGGGAGGCGAGGAGGTGACCATGAGGGGCCAAACGTGCTCCTTGCCGTGGGGTGGTCCCGGTTGTGCCGGTAGCTCCCTGATCGTGTGTCCCCACGGAGCAGGTCCCCCCCGGAGCCGCCTGGAGCCCATGGACACCATCTTCGTGAAGAACGTGCGGGAGGACGGGCCGGCCCACCAGGCCGGGCTGCGCACGGGTGAGTGGGGTCACGGGGCTGGAGATGGCCCCAGGGTGCTCCTGGGATCCACGGGATGCTCCACCTCCTCTGCCAGGGACTTCCTTGCTTATTTTGCTCTTTTTCTTGCATTCCTTCTTTTTTCTCCTCCCTCTCTCTGCTCCCTGTGGGTGCTCTGCTCTCTTGCTCTGCTCTGAGCAGCGTTGGGGTCCCCATGGGTCGGGCTGGTTTTGGGGTCCCCGTGGCTCCTCTTGGCAAAATCCCTGTTCAAAGCCTGCCGTGAGTGACCGTGGGGACATCCAGGTGCTGCCACAGCCTTGTGGTGACACTGTGCCCTCCTGGGGCTCTGCAGGTGACCGGCTGGTCAAGGTGAATGGGGAGAGCATCATCGGCAAAACCTACTCGCAGGTCATCGCGCTGATCCAGAACAGGTGAGTCCCCTTCCTGCGGGTGGGAGGTGACGGGATGGGGACACGTCACAGCAGGCACTGTCCCCCGGGGTGTCACTGGGATGACAGGAGCCCTGAGGCAGGGAAACAGGGACAGGCAGTGATGAGCTGTCACTGTCCCGTGGCGATGGGGACGTTCATCTCATGGGGGTGAGATTGGGGGCAGGTGGGGACCGACCCTGACCGACCTGACCCCTCTGTCCCTTCTCCCCAGTGATGATGTGCTGGAGCTCTCCATCATGCCCAAGGATGAGGACATCCTCCAGCTGGTGAGTTTGCCGGGCAGGTTTCAGGGACACTTGGGGACACTTGGGGAAAGGGCTCCATCAGCATCCCGGGAGGATCGATGGGTGAAGAGATGGAGGTACCAGGGGTCCAGGAAAGGAACATGGGGGACGTGGTCTCTGTTTTTTGGGGACATCTTCAGGCATAGCTGGAGGATGAGTTGCTCTGGATCTCAGGGTCTGACTTGCCCTTGGAGCACCTCAGGTGCCTCTGCTGTTGGTGAGCTGGGATCTGGGGGTGACAGTGGCCCTGTAGGGTGGCCTGAGCCAAGGGGTGTGAGGGGGACTTCTCCTGGTGCTCCTCTGGTCCTGTCTTGGGTATTAGGTGACACCATTGCTTGTCCCCAGCCTGGGGGCCCCGTTCCCATGGAGTTTGGGGGGTCTTATAGCCCTGGCAAGGGGGGAGGTGTCTCCCATCTGTGCCTGCTCCAGGCTCTGGGAATCCCCCGGTGTGGAGTCAGAGGTGCCTGTGAAATGTGAGATGGGAGAGCTGGACCGGCTGGCCGGGGTATTTTAGGAAGGAGGGGAGGGGAGAGTGGAAAGGCTGGGGTTGGTGCTGGGGGGGGACCCCATGGGAAAGCAGGACCAGGGTGGCAGGAGCCACGTAGGGAGCACAACTCGGGTAGGGAGGAGCAGAGCTCATTCCTACAGTGGGAATGGGGGGATTGTGACCCCGTCCCCCCACCCTGACCCCCTGTCCCCCCACAGGCATATTCCCAGGACGCCTACCTGAAGGGCAACGAGCCGTACTCCGGCGGGGCGCAGAGCATCCCCGAACCCCCTCCCATCTGCTACCCACGGAAGACGTACCCCTTCCAGGCACGGGGTGCTGAGCCCTCCCCGGGCCAGCCACCAGACCCCCGCACCCACCGCCCCTCTGCCACCGGCCCCTCTGCCACGGGCCCCCGGAGCGACGCCGGCGGCAGCCCCGCACACCGCCCCGAGGATCCACAGCCCGGGGGTCCCCCCCCGCGCCCCCACGGCCACCCCGGCTCCTTCTCCCGCCCCGGCTGCCCCGGCAGCGCCGCATCCTCCGTGCCCGACCGCTACGGGATGCCCCCCGCCGCCGCCACCGCCTCCTGCCACGCGGCCCCCAAGCACCTCCCGGAGCACCGGACTCACTGCGGCTTCCAGGAGGCCGTCGGGGGGCTGTCGGGGGCCGGGCGGCCCCCCCGGGACGTGGCCCAGCGCGTGCCCGGGCGCCAGGAGTGCCAGCAGGCTCTGTCGCGCTGGTTCTGCAGCCAGGAGCCGCGGCGCAGCGCCTCGGAGGAGCGCCGGCACGCCCTGCCCCGCTACCGCAGCGTGTCCCAGGACCGCCTGGGGGGCTCGGCGGGCGCGGCCCACCGGGGGTGGCCCCACAGCGCCTCGCACGACACCCTGCTGCAACCCACCCGCGAGGGCTGGGCCCCCCGCGCCCGCTCCGACCACGCCCTGGGCAGGTACGGGCGCTCCATGGAGGCGCTGGAGCCCCGAGCGCTGCTCCCGCCGCACCTCGACCGCTCCGCGTGGCCGCCCGAGAGGCTCTGCCGGGCCGCCGGGAGCGCCGGGCAGCCCGTCCCGCACGGCTCCTTCGCACCTCCCTCCTCCTCCTCCTCGTCCTCCTCGCGGGAACCGGCGCCACCGGTGCAGAAACACCCGTCGCAGCCCAACCTGCAGAGCGTGGACGACTCGGGGTACATCGGCTACCGCAGCTACAGCCCGTCCTTCCAGCGCCGCACGGGGCTGCTGCACGCCCTGTCCTTCCGCGACCCGGCCTTCGGGGGGCTGCCCACCTTCAGCATCGCCCAGCGGGCCGTGGCCCCGCTCACGGACAGCATGGTCACCCCCCTGCCACCACTGCCCGCCGGCCCCACGCCGGGCCCTGCCGCGCCCCGGGAGCAGCGGTCGGAGGGCGGCCGAGCGGCCGAGCAGCCCGAGGAGCGCAGGGAGGAGGTGGTTCTGCGGCAGAAGCCGCCCACGGGGCGCAAGATGCCGGTGCCGCTGCGGCAGATGAACTTTGTCTTCCCCGAGGGGGTGAAGGAGACGGACATTTGCGAGCCCTCCGCCCCCGGGGGCAAAGGGGAGAGGCCGGTGGCCGAGCGGCCGGGCCGGCGCATGGCTCCCTTGGCAGCCCCCGAGGACTCCCTGGCATCCATCCCCTTCATTGGTGAGTCCCAAATAGGTCTGGAGGAGCCACAGGTCTGCCCTGTCCTTCCCTGTGCTTGCTCCCAGGGAGGGACCCCTGGGCTGGATGGGAAGGGGGGGTAGGGATGGGGGGTGCAGCAGTGCTGTGGGTGAGGGTCTGGGTGCACTGGCAGCTCCTGGCTTTGCCCGGGGTGGGAGTGTGTCCCCCCCGCCCAACCCAGACACCTACAGACCCACCACAGGGCAGAAGTGCTGAGGGGTCCCGGCAGGGACTTCCCCTGCCCCAACACCCCCTACAACACTGCCCACCCCCTGGCAGACGAACCCACCAGCCCCAGCATCGACCTGAAGGCCAAACACATCCCAGCCTCCTCGGTGGTCTCCAGCGCCATGAACTCGGCGCCCGCCGTCGCCACCAGCCCCTCGTCACCCACCTTCGCCTTTGCCCTGTCCCGGCACTATTCCCAGGACTGCAGTAAGTGCTGGGTGGGGGGAGAACCATCCTGGGGGCCGTGGGGGGAGCAGCCCCCCACCCCAGAACTGTGTCCCGTGCCCCTGGGTTGACCAGGGTGGGCTTTGCCCCCCTCCCCATCGCAGGCAGCATCAAGGCCGGCCGCCGCTCGTCCTACCTGCTGGCCATCACCACCGAGCGCTCCAAGTCCTGTGACGACGGTCTGAACGCATTTCGGGACGAGGCCAAGATCCTAAGGTAGGGCTGGACGCACCCCCCTTCCCGGTCCCACCCCCCCCCCCCC